CCCTGGCCCCCCGCACCGCTCTGCCTCGGCCCCACATCTAGGTCCCACCCTGGCTCCCTCCCGCGGCCCCCGTGAACTCAGTCTCCACATGCGCAGTCCCCCAGTTCCCCGTCCCCGCCCCGCTCACAGACCCCGCCCCCTACTCCTCCCTTGAGCTCAGATCCCTCCCCGTCGGGGGTCATTCCGCACTGGGGCTCCGCCCTCCCGGGCCTGCTGACTTCTGGCGCATGCGCATCATCGGGCACCGCCCCCTCCACGCGCTCCCATTTGGCGGCTGGCGCGCCTCGTAGCGGGGTCGGAGGTCGCGGGGCGGAGCCAGCAGCTGTCGGGCTGCATCCTTGTGGCCGGTGCTGGTCCTCTGCCGGTGCCGGGATGGCCTTAAGCGACTTGCCTGTGGCGGGTGCAGCGGAGGAGGAGGCAGAGGACGAGGCGCTGGCCCGTGGCGCCGCCCTGGAAGCGTTCGGCGAGAGCGTGGAGATCCGCGCGCTGCTCGGCCGCCTGCGGGTGGTGCATGGCGAGCGCGCAGCCCGGGAGGTGGCGGAGGAGCGGTTCCGCGGTGCGGGCCGGACCGGGAGGGCAGGCGAGGGGGGCAGCCCGACCCCGACCCCGACCCCGGCCTCGCCTCGCGTGTCGCTGCGGCGCGCACCCGGGAGCGTGGGCACCTGCCCCGCCCTGCAGGAGCGGGACCAAGCGCCGCTTTGTGGGGCCTCGGTGCCCCGGGAGGGAGCGGGAGCAGCGGCCCGCGCTGAAGCGGGGAGGACCCGCGCAGAGCGAGGGCGCGCGGCGAGCAGCGCTGGAGCTAGGTTCCTTGTTAGCCTGAGTCCTCCACGGCCTGCCAGATGAGCCTGCGTCCTTCAGTCAGGGGTTTGCACTTGAGTGAAACCATTTCTTTCTTTCTTTCTTTTTTTTTTTTTTTTGCGGACCCTTTTAGCTAAAGAGGTCTCTGCTGATCCTGTTCTCTTGTCTTCCTTGTTTTGGAATGACGGCAGAGGCAGGTGGTGGATCCCGTGGAAAGAGTGTGGGTTTTGATGACGCAGGCCCTGGTTTCGAGCCTTGTCTCTGTCTCTTGGTCTGGTTAGGTCTAGAGTAGCAGTTCTGCTGCTCTAAACTTGCCTTAATGATAAGGCAGACAGGTACAGAACTGTTCTGAGAGTGAGATGAATCCAGGGACCCGTGAAGGCCCACCTTCCCATTCCTGGGAAGTGGGCGTTATGGTCAGGCTGCCCTGTTAAGAGAAGTCAATGGATTGGGAAAAAGTGGTTTTAGCAGCTGGGGGGGGGGTGAACAGCAGGTGTTCTGGGGATAAGGAGCCAGTGGGGCCTTGGGTTGAAGAGTTGGCAGGGATGGGAGAGCACAGTGCATGATATGCTCGGCAGGGGAGCAGGGAATGCTTGGAAGGGGTGAGTCTCAGAAGTGGGAAGGGGGGCCCTGGAGGGTGAGTGGGGGGCGGAGTGGGGAGAGACCTGGTTAGGGAGGGTGCATTCAGTGGTGCCGGAAGAGGACCCAAGAGGAGGGTGTGCTGAGCCAGTGACCAGCAGACCATGCCACAGTGGCCTGCTGGAGCATGGTGGATTGCTCACCCCAGGGCCCTGTGTGGCACCTGTCAGAAGTTAAGTGTGCTGGGAGCTGCAAGGGCTCACATGCACGTTTGGTGTGTGTGAAAGGGGGAGCTGCCCCAGGGCTCACATGCATGTTTAGTGGGTGGATGGTCAATATTCGTGTTATTTTCTTTTTAGTAATAATGGACAAGTATCAGGAGCAGCCTCATCTGTTGGACCCACACCTTGGTAAGCACTGAAATTGATGATCACAAAGTCCTGTGAATGGTGATGGCTCCTGTGTGTGCTACTCCCAGAAGATACCAGGTGATGTGTCCATGGTACAGGTCTAATTTGCTGGAAGGCCTGGTAGCTACTTGTAGTGCACCTTTGGTGTGACTTGAAGTCCAGGTCTTACTTTAGATCGTGCACAGATGTGTCTGAGCTGCTTTCTCCTGCTGCTCTTTGGGAACACATCTTTTCTTCTTGCGTGTGTCTTAGTTTGTTAAGTCTGGGCACAGGGTGTGCTGCTGGTAATCATCACACGGGTCCCCATTCCATCCCCATAGCAGCTAAGGAGAGTGTCTGCCATCTCCATTTTTATAGATGGAGACACTGATCCGGACCTGCAGTGGATGTCTTTAAATATTTGACCATTTCATACAGATTATTTTTTTTTCTTTTTGTCCTGGTCCTGAACCTGGGAAGGAGAAGATAGCCCTGGTGACTAGGTTGGAGAGGCAGCAGGGGCAGGTGCATAGGCTCACATGGGGCTCTGTCACTCAGGGGTTGGTCTGTGGCTGGAGGATGGGGTGTGCAGACCTGTGTGAGAGACGCCCTGTGGTGTGCACATGCTCATGTTGAATTTCTCTTCTCCCAGTGATGGGATTCTCAGGTGGGCCTTGTGAACTCACCTGTTTCAGCCCCCTGTGTCCCGACCTGCCGTTCCCTGAGGATTGACATGCTCTGGGTCTTTCTTCCTAGGTGGAATGTTTGTAGACAGATGGCTGAAGACATTCTCCTACAGTACAGGGACATCACTCTGTGGTGTTGTGGTCACTGCTGTGCTCCTCCTTCTTTTGTGCCGAGTTAGATGTTGGCTGTCTGTAGCGATCCTTGGGGTCTTAGCTTCTCTCTGAGTCCTCTACTTTTGGTTTCTTGCATGACGATGAAGTTCTTTACCTTGTTATTTATTTTTTTTAAATTTTTTTTCAGTTGTAGATGAACACACAGTATCTTTGTTTATTTTTATGTGGAGCTGAGGATTGAACCTAGTTCCTCGCACGTGTGAGGCAAGCACTATGCCACTGAGCTACAGCCCCAGCCCTCCACCTTGTTCTGACTGTTGTGTTACCTTCTTGAGAGCCCGACTGGGAGCCCGCAGTGCTTGGTGACTTGCTTTTCTGCCTGAGGGGCACTGTGCAGCCCCTCTGGCCCTCTCCAGGCCTGCTGAGCCGTTGTTATCAGGGCTGGCTCCCAGCTCAGCTTCTAGCTTCCCCTCTCCAGAGAGGGTTGTCCAGTAGGACTTCGTTCACTGACAGAATGGTCTAGATCCGTGCTCTCCCCCAGGCTGGCACTAGCTACATGTGGCCTTGAGCACCTGTGTATGTCTAGTGTGAATGAGAAGCTGAATTTTTTTCTAAAAGTTTTTTTTTTTTTTTTTAAAGATGGACACAATATCTTTATTTATTTATTTAACGTGGTGCTGAGGATCGAACGCAGCACCTCACAAGTGCGAGGCAAGCACTCTTCCGCTGAGCTATAACCACAGCCCTGAGAAACTGGATTTTTAATGTGACTTAAATTGAAAACACCAGTGTGGCTAGGTCTGTAGGGTTGACTGCTGCAGCGTAAACACCTGGTCTTGCCAGGGCAACGTGCTGCGCTTCACCCCCTGCTGGACCACCAGTTGTGCCTGCCTTCCAGCTTCTGGGCAGTTTCCTTCCCTTCACTTCTGCGTTCACATATTTAGTTCTTTTTTTTTGGGGGGGGGTGCGCCAGGGATTGAACCTAGGGGTGCCTAACTCCTGAGCCACAACCCCAGTCCTTTACATTTTTTACTTTGAGTCAGGGTCTTGCTAGTTGCTTACAGCCTCTAAGTTGTTGAGGCTGGCTTTGGATTCATGGTCCTGCTGCCTTAGCATCTTGAGCCTCAGGGGTTACAGGTGTGTGTAACCAAGACCCGCTGTATGTCTTTAGTGGTTTTTTTTTTTTAATATAGTTTTAGTTGTTGATGGACCTTTATTTATTCATTTATTTATATGTGGTGCTAAGAATCGAACCCAGTGCCTCACATATGGTAGGCAAGCTCTCTGCCACTAAGCTAAAACCCCAGACCTATCTTTAGTTCTTTAGAACTGCAGGTTTTTTTCTTTTTTTCTTTTTGTGGTGCTAAGGAGTCAAACCCAGGGCTTAAGCACTATACCAGCTGAGCTATGTTGCCAGCCCCGTTATCTTTATTTATTTATTTTTTAAAATATTTATTCTTAAGTTTTAGGTGGACCCAATATCTTTATTTTACATTTATGTGGTGCTGAGGATCGAACCCAGTGCCTCGTTCATGCTAGGTGAGCACTCTACCACTGAGCCAAAACCCAAGCCCATCTTTCGTTCTTGATGACTCTCTTACTGGGCTTCTGGGGCAGCAGAGAGAAACTGTGCCTTCTGTATGGGTCACGGGCTCTCTGGGCCCCCAGTGATTGTGCAGGGGTTGTGAGATCTGTCCTAAACTTTCTGAGCCAGGGAGTTGCTTGCGCTCTGCTGATCCCTGAATTCTCTTTCCTTTGGGACAGTGTTGCGGTGAAGGGCTGGTCCTTTCCTTATTT